CGTGGGGGTCACCACAACATGAGGAACTGGACTCAAGGGTCTCAGCATTAGGAAGGATGAGAACCACAGGACTAGCGGAGAGGCTAAGCTGGGCTTGGAACCCCTACTGGTTCATCTTCACCCGTAAGCCTTCCACAATAACAACTGTAAGAATGGCATCGTTTGTGGTGTGTGTACTTGTGCACACATGTGCAGATATACTCATGGGGGCTAGAGTTTGATGTCAGATGTCGTCTTCAACCTCTCCACCTTTTTCTTTTTATGTATATGTGTGATGTGTATGCATAAGTATATGTGTGTGGGTGCACACATGTGTGAAGGTGCACATGGGTGTCTGTGCATGTGTGTGGGCGCACACATGTGTGAAGGTGCACATGGATGTCTGTGCATGTGCTTGTGGAGAAGAGAGGTTGACATGGTGTCTTCCTCAATCACTGTCTGCCTTGTATATTAAAGCAGCATCTCTTAGTTGAACCCAGTCAGTCTAGCTAGCCAGCTTGCCCTGGGACTCTCCTGCCTTTACCTTATGAATTACAAGTTGACTACCATGCTCCCACAAAATTTATTTGGGTGGTCAGGGTATAAGTTCAGGTCCTCACCCTTGAATGGTGGGTGTTTTAACCTACTGAGCCTCTCCTCAGCCTCCTCCATTTTTCGAGACAGGGTCTCTTACAAAAGCTGGAAACCACCAATTTGGTTAGATTGGCTGCCCAGCAAGCCCCCAAAAATCTGCCTCTCTTCTTCTCCACGATACTGGGATTATAGGTACATTGCCACTGTGCCTGACTTTATGTGGGTACAGGGGGTTTAAATTTAAAACCCTATAAACTGTAAGATCTTTATCAACTGAAGCATTTTCCAGAAAATAATTTTAATCTATACACTTAAAATATGCTAACTAGACTGTCTCCAGCCCCAATTTCTCGGGGTAGAAAGGAGGTGGATTGGAGAAAACCTAGAAGGAGATTTGTGGAAATACAGCACAGGGAATGAGGGGAATTGAGATAAAATGAAGGGGGAAACAGATGAGATTGTGTAGGGGTGGATTCTGGCAGAGGTCAGCTCCAAAGCTAACAGTGCCCTTTTCTCAAGAAGAACTTTCTAGACTTGCATGTGATCTGAAGCTGTGGAGAGGGGTTCTCCAGGCTAGATGGGCCATTTCAGATACACATAATGCATATATTGAGAGCAGTCAGCCTGGAGATGTTTTATTTAATGCACTGTCCTGTCCCACCCATGTCTACCCCAAGACAATTGCACTCATTTTTGGAGGCCTACAGAATGGTGTTTCCTTAACGGTTCATGAACCTACATGTTCCTGTGGCCATTTCAGTCCGTAATAATCATCTTGGCTGACAGTTAAGTCTGTGCTGGAGGCTACGTACACCTACTTTGCCTATGTCGTCATCTGTGTTTGTCAGATAAAGAAACCTACTTACAGGAATTAAATGATTTGATCTCAGAATCTGTGTGACAGACCTGGCAGGAATGAAGATATTCTAAATAGAATCATGTGTGCTTCCCTTTGCCTATCAAATTACTGAGACAGTGGAGCCCAAGAAATTGGAATTTCCCCAGGAGTCTCCTGCCAGGAAAAGGAAAGGTCTGGGAGTCTGGTGCCAGCCAGACAGGGAGCTTGTCTCCTGGAAAGAGATTTCATATTGTTTTGACAACTTGTCAGATCCTCTTGCAGGAGAAACTGGAGCTGAGGCAGTGAAAATGGCTGGACCACACCTTGGCCAGGACTGCTTGGCTGTGCATCCCTCTCAACCCAGTGGTTCTCAGCCTGCTTTTAATACAGTTCCTCAGGTTGTGGTGACCCAACCATAAGATTATTCTCATTGCTACATCATAACTGTAATTTTGCTACTGTTATGAGCCATAATGTAAACATCTGATATGTAGGATATTGGGTATCTGATATGAAAGGGTTGTTTGACCCTCCCAAAGCAATCGTCATTTACAGGTTGAGAAATATTGCCTAAACCCCTGTTTAAGCCTAAGCTTCGTGTTCAGACTCTAAAGATGAACTTGGGGGTCACTGTCTCTTTTTTCTCTTCCCATATGACCACACTGGATAAGTCTCGTCTCTCTGTACTTCATTATTAAACTTACTTGGCCTATTGAGGACTGGTAGCCATGCCTGGCTTCTTGATTCTCAGGGATGCCAGGATCAGACTGGTTCTAACTAGTCTGGACACATGAGTCTTGGACAACTGTGTGCCTGGCGCTACCCCTACACTGTCTTCCCTCCCCACAGAAAACACTTCTTAGTTTACCAGCCTACTTCTCCAGAGTTAATGATGAAACCGACTGGAAAACTTAGATTCCACATTAAGTTTCACTCTCTGGGCCCCCGACAGTTAGATTCCACAGCTGGGGTGGTCCGGGACACGAAAATGAAAGGAAATTGAATAGAATACTAGGTACACTCCCCTGACCTGAAGTAGCCTTGTAAGCATGTTACAGAGTTACCAGACCAAGCAGATATTTAACTAGATAGCTGGCTCACTGAATTGGTCATGCTGACCCAAAATAAGGGGACTCTAAAGCAGAAGTGAGCGGTGCGTGTTTAAATTTAATATGTATACGTTTGGGAGGGAGACTTGAAGACTGGAACAGAATACATTTAACATCTACTGGGTGCTTACTGTGTGCTTTGGTGTCTCTGAATATGTAAATGGAGTTAATCAAGAGTGTGTTGAGTCCCTCCCTCCCCTTCATTCTAATTTGCTTAACAGCCTTGCAAAGCTGTGACCGCAGCTCCTTCTCCTCTTTTTTACCTTTGAAGCCATGCTTTGCATCTACATCCCCACAAGATGACTCATGAATATTACACGGCACCTAGTGCAGTCCCGTGGTTCTTAGCAGTTTTGCACTCTGTTCTTCCATTTTGTAGATGAGGACCATTTGAAAACCTTCATGACATATTCTCTCTCTCTCTGTCTCTCTCTCTCTGTCTCTCTCTCTCTCTCTCTCTCCTCTCTCTCTTGCCATCATGGCCCCACCCCCAGTCTTATCTCACAACAGCTAGAGTCATCTTATGTGAATGTCCCCAGATAGCCTCCTCAGAGCCTCCAGTGACTTTACCCCTCCCTGCCTTTGTAAAAAACCCCCACAGTCTTCTGTGGCCCGTTGTGCAGTGCACATTCCAGCCCAGTGGCTTCAAACTTCAGCATGGTGTGGTGTTAGCACAGCCAGGAAGCCTCGTGGAAACACAAGTTGCACGTGCAATATGAGTGTCTACTTCTGTTTCGAGACAGGGTCTCATATTGCCCAGGTTGAAGTTTAGCTTAGTATGTAGTCAAGGATGTCCTTGCATGCTACCTACTGAGACCCATCCCCTCCCCTGCTCTCAACTTCTAACCATATGGGTGGTCCAGGAAACACCCTTTGAGAATCCCTGGTGAAGCTCTTATTGACACTCTTGTGATTGCTCCACTCTTGGCACCATTCTCCAGCCACACTTTCTGCCATTGTTTTCTCAAGTCATGCATTCTCTTAGGTGACTTGAACCCCAAAGAAAATGAAGATTGATTCCTGATGGGTAAAGAAAAAGTTGAGACCTTGTAGCAGTCTGTGGCTCTTCAGAGCTTAGTTCTGCCTTAGAGATAAACATGTCTGTGGGGTTAAAATTTTACTTGGGATGAAGTACTGGGGGCAGGGAAGCAAATTTCTTGATTACAATAATGAGATAAAAAAGAAAAAAATGAGGGGCTGGAGAGATGGCTCAGAGGTTAAGAGCATTGCCTGTTCTTCCAAAGGTCCTGAGTTCAATTCCCAGCAACCACATGGTGGCTAACAACCATCTGTAATGGGGTCTAGTGCCCTCTTCTGGCCTGTAGGCATACACACAGACAGAATGTTGTATACATAATAAATAAATAAATATTTATTAAAAAGATAAAAAAAATGAGATAAAAAAAAAACAACTTGTACAACAGTGTCTTGAACTAAGCCAGGATTTGCTTCGTGGCCTTTTACTTCTTAGTTCTCTCTTTCTGGAATGTTCTTGTCTTGGCCTTACCAAGGCTGATTCCGCAGCATTACCACTGCAGATTAAATGTCAGCCTCCTCAAACAGCTCCCTGCTGACTGCCCTGCCAGGATCAACAGCTCCCCACATCTATTTCCCTGAACGTAAAACCTGAATGAAGATGGCTGGCAGGAGAATGACGTCACAGTTTGCTAGGCTTGTAGATGATGAGAGGCATCCCACGGCCATGTAAGGAGCCAGCCTTTCCCAAAGTTTGCTCCTGAATCATTGCATGTGCTTCCCACCACTTTGTATTCTCCTTTGATTATCACCAGGAACAAGGGGAGGGAGCATGAGACCCTGAGAGCCTGGGATGAGGAGGTCTATGCCAAGAGCTAATGCTGACAGAATCCTCTCGTTTTGCAAACTCAGATAACTGGGGCTCAAAACCTTAATCATTCTCCCAAGGTTGAGTAGCCAGCAGCTGAAGAGAGTAGAGGTACAGCCCATCCTATCCTCCTGCCTTCTCTGGAGCCTGACTGTGAGTCTATTACACCTGAATTTAGTCCATCAATCTTAAGAGTGTGAACCACCACATTCTAGATCATTCCCTTCATCTCAGGACGATCTTTGGGCATGGTTGCAAAAAGCTCCTTTTTGGTCTTGGGGCCTATCCTAGCCTGGAAAGTGGGAGGCAGCTTAAAATGGCATATCTCATAATCCGTAAGTCAATTATAAATAATTCCTGGTCCTTTCATCTGTGGCATAAGATTCCGTTGTCTGATTTCATCTGAACCAAGTATGCCATCACTGTATCAGATTGAGGAGAAGGCCTGGCTCAAAGTAGGTCCACTCACTAGAAAGAGAAGAACAAAGCAATGTAGAAGACAGGCAGAATGGGTCATGTTCACACATGCATGGGAGCCAAGTATTCTCATAATCAGAAGAAGAAATGATAGAGTCATATCAACTAAAGAAGAAAACAGTCCTTATTTCCCCGCATGTAATCTTAATAAGTAACTTACCGATGTGTTTGCTGCAGGAATTTCTGTAGCCAACCTCAAATTGTCTGGAACTAAACAAAACAGAGTTCTACAGATGTCTCTGACTCCCTGTCAGAATATTTATGGGCTATGGGGACAGCATGGCTCCCTGGTTCTCAGCCCTGGCTTCTGTGCCACCCTTGGCCCAGTCCACATGATGAGAACATCTGTTTGTTTAAACAAGTCACTTCAAGGCTGGTGAGGTGGCTTAGTTGGTAAAAGCACTTGCTGCCAAGCCTGGCAACCTGTGTTCTATGCTCAGGACCCATAAAATACAAGGACAGAACTGGGGCTGGAAAGATGGCTTAGCAGTTAAGAGCACTGGCAGCTCTTCCAGAGAATTCAGATTAAATTCTCAGAACCCACGTGGCAGCTCGCAACTGTCTGTAATTCCAGTTCTAGGGTATCCAACACTGTCGCATAAATATACATCAGGCAAAACACCAATTCAGATGAAATTAAAAATAAATTTTAAGAAAAGGAGAGATCTGTCTCCTGAAAATTGTCCTCTGACTTTTATACATGTGCCATAGCATGGGCACTTATGCGCACACACACAGACAGACAGACAGACACACACACACGTATAATAATAGTAGTAGTAGTAGTGAAGAAAGTGAATAAATCCCTTCTTGTAGAACTCTTCCCAGCTCCAATTTGTTTGCCAAGGCTCCTTCTAACTGTCTCAGGGGCTGTTATTAAAATCTCTTTGATGCATTTATTTTTATTGTCTTCAGTGTCATAAAATGCCAAGCCACAAGCCTAGCCAGATCCACCCTGACAGGCCACTGCTACTTGCTAAAACCCTCCTAGGCAAGATCTACATTCCTTTATTGGTTATTTTGTCCAGGTTCTCTGTTTTAAACAGGTCTTACTATTAGCTCAACCTGGCTTTAGATGTGACCTCCTCCTGCCTCTGATTGAATGCTGAGACTACATACAACTCTGCATTTGGAGAAAGAGTGGACTGGGGTGTTGGACATGAATATATATATATGTGTGTGTGTGTGTGTGTGTGTGTGTGTGCATGTGTGTGTATACACATATAGGGAAAATATATATACATATATTGATAAAATGGGACCTCCTGAGACTGAGAAGCTTCTGTAAAGCAAAGGACACTGTTGCTAAGACAGAAAGGCAACCCACGGACTGGAAGAAGATCTTCACCAACCC